TGCTCCCTATAAGGGTCAGCAGATTCCCTTTTTAGTGACCAATAGAGAGAGGGCGTTCACCTTTTTAAGCTCTATGCAGAAGAGAAAGATGGGGGAGCCAAACTACAAACATGTTCTTCTCTATCACCTCCAATTTTTCAGTAGGCTTATCCCTACATATACCCAGATCCACACAACATGAAACCCCCCTATGACAAGAAACGTGCAAAAACTGCATGCAAAGAGAACTTAGAAACTATTTGGTTATGGAATCTACGAGACAAATAGGAATAAAACAAATGAAATAAATGCCAGAAAAGACAACGCAATTCAGCATTAGTACTGAAGAGCACAGGAGAAACCCTGGGTAGAATGCAAGCAGCGTGGACACTGCCCTGACACAACCTCTCACACACAGCAGCAAAACCCGCCAAAGAAGCTTTAGCACCTAAAATGATCTTGCACCATAGCAGACACAAAAAGCACATCTCATACCACGGTAATCCACCAACGTGTAGTTAGACAACCCAATTGTTAATTAAACAACCCTAACTTTACTAAGACATAGTTCAAAAACACTTGAAAGCTTTCTTAAGACTTCATGTTAAAAATGCAAAGTTATCGTAATTAAAGACGGGAACATGAGAACTTCAATTCTGCATTTTTTTAAGATCACGGAGAGGGGCACACTATGTTGAAGACAGATTCCTTTATAATTATTAAGATGACAAAATCTAAACTTAAAAAAAGATATATATTCTTGTTAATTGCTATTCTGTTTATATTTGTAACGATCTTCCCCTTTTCAACCAAGAATCATAGTGTTAACAGCCAGACATGTTGATGAATTACTAGTTTTTTTCTGAATAAGAACCTGCAGGACAGCAGAATTAAATTTCCTATCCTGACTACTGCAGCACTGACTGTGCCATCACAGGAGAACATTTAAGCACATCAAGAGTGAAGTTTGCAAAAACTCAGTAACACAGTTCCATAAAGACTTTGCTGAAATGCTTTGAGATTCTTTACTTGCATTTTAATGAAACACACGCTTTCAACCTTCAACTGCAAGTGGGAGGCAGAGGCGCGATGTTCTTCCTCTCAATTAACCCTTGCCATTTTTACCCCTTACCTCTTTGTTTTGCAGGCTGATGCTCCTCCTCCTCAGTGGGTTCTGAAGGGTCATAATAATCACTGCCATAACGGAACCCCACTGCATTATAGGTACCATCCTCTGCCAAAGCTTCGCTCAGTCTTTTATATTCCTCCTCTTGAACAAAAATGCAATTACCAATCATTAGAATATGTTTAAAAGCTAATTTGTTTAAAAAAAAAAAAAAAAAAGAGTAGTATTTCTTACTTTAGTTTTTAAATGAGAAGTTTTCACCTAATCATTTTAACTGTCGTTAAAAATTGAATAGAAAAACACAGCATGTACATATGCTGACCGTTTATTTCTTCCTGAAGAGATAAAGGCTGCGGGTTAAAACATTCTAACGTAATTATGCATACCAGAGCACAGAATTTTATTTATACAACACTAAAAAAGAAGGAGAATGTGTTTATTTTGGGGTTTTTTGGGTCTGAAATCCCAGTCTGCCCTCAGAATCTGGGCAATTTCTGTGTGGATCTATATTTAAACTATCCTGAGGTCCGCTCACATACGCAAAGACTCCCGTTTTTCGAATCCACTGGGTACTGTCAAGATAACATCAGAAAAAGAGAGTATAAAATTAGGAGTAAATTTAATTTCATCATTATTCATTTAAATATGTGCTAAACTCAGGAAGTTTCCTTGAGCAATACCTTGCCTCGCCTCCTCCTCAAGCAAGTCCGTATGCAAGGCTAAATACCTCTCTTCATCACAGAGGGCTTCTATTCTAGCCTCCTCTTCAGACAATTGATAATCTCTGTTCCACGTGGAATATTCAGCATCATATTCAGAAAGGTCATGTAGGTGACCACGCCCATCGTACCTGCAAGATGAAACAGCTGGTCAATGCAAAAAACTTAGGGCTTGGGTTTATGCGACTACTTAAATACTTACCCATTAAAAATGAAAAAAAAAAGTACTTATACGTTAAAGCATATTTCCTTTTAGAAGTTACGTTTAATTTTGCTAATCATTTGTCACCAACTATCGAAAATTTGTTTAATAGTCTAAATTCCTCTCAAAGAAACTAATAAATTATTACAATTAAAGGCAAAGGTATCCTTTAATAGTTTAAGTGGGATCCATTTCCTTAACAGCTCTTACCGTACGTGCTTCAACCAACCAATCAATGTGACTTGCAAAATACGTTTTTCTGGAAAGTCAAATAGCTTACATTCACACAAACCCGAATACATAAATACCTATCCGTAAGAACCAAACGGTCGAAATTTCCTCGCTTCTTTCTGCTAGTCCCGAACTCTCAGGAGATATCTTCACCATAGAAACTTGCGTCCATTGGAGGTAAAATCATGGCTAGGCTCGGCCCCTAGCCATTTGGCTGAGGAAATAAGTTCTGGGTTATGTGATAGAGAGACACACATACATAGGAACAGTAACATATACATGCAATTTAAGGAGGTTCACCGTAAAAACGGCAAAGATCAATGACGTACAGTTCCTTTCTACTAAGCAGAAATCACTTTATTTGCAGGAAAAGCACTGCATTGGGATAATGTTTATGCATCAGTAAGAGAAACTGATTGAAAAGTAAAGTGACAGTAAACTCGACTCCGTTGAGGTGTCTTCCCACACACAACTCTTGACTTGTGCCAACTTGCTAGACCAAAAACAAAGAAAGTAAATATTCTTATAGCAAAAAGTTAATGAAACACGTAGGTCTGGTTAATCAAGCTCTGTCCACAGGCAAACTTCAACCCATGTCTTCTCATAGCAATGTGCTTTTTTCTCAAAATGGTGAAAATGAAGACTTCCTGCTGCTGGAGATAGAAAGAATCTAAGCTTCCAAAGGAGTTTATAAGATTAGTAATTGCAAGCTACCTTCACTTACAAATGTATGTTATTTAGATTTTTTGGTATTATATGTACATACATGCACATACTTAGTTTTTGCTCCCAACAATTTCTGTAACGACTCTAAATCGGGTTACTGTTGCACAGGACCACAAAAATGGCCTCTACCCACTAATGAAATCTGTCACAAAAGTGATCTGGATTAGAAGTGTGCATGGTAACACTTCTATTCTCATGCAAGTCAGAAATTATATACAGCTACAAACATTTATGGTTGTTTTTTCACGTCTTTTTGTTTATTCCAATTCCACGAATTAATTTCAATCGTAACAATCGTTAATGGCGTAACCCCCAAAACAGTGCAAGGGCATTTCTTTTTTCTCCAGTCTTATAGAAGGAAATGAGAAGACTTTCCCTTACTGATATCTTTCCAAGCCCAATACAGTTGTCAAATCAAAACAAGAAAAATCATGTAGCGCATCAAAGCAATGATGAAATTGAGGGAACAAATATCTACAGTATGTCATGTGATCCTTTTCAAACCAAAATCCTTCCATCTTTCCCACTGACGTTTTCAGGGTCAGCCACAACTCTTAAATTGTACTTTCAGTGCTCCACTCAAACATACCCAACCTGACCGGCCATATTCCCTCTCTCCAGGAAAATATTCCGAAAACTCATTCCGAATGAATGTATTTCTAAATCCCACCCTATTTTTAACTTAAGAGACCAGAAGAAACATCAAAGCAGGTTCTATTACTCTCTCTGGCCATCAGCCTGTACCTACTGCAGAACAACCAAAAAAAAGCCACCCCTGACATAAAATTTGAAAAGCAAGCACCCAAAATCCAAGCCATTCTGTCTAATACAGTGAATCACGGCACAAGGAAAAAGTAATTAGGCCAAGAATTGCTCTCGGGGTATCCCACCAACAGCCTGCAGCCAGATTACGTAGGAGAAAGAAGAAAACCCCATTTCCCCTAAAGTGGACAAATACCTTTCCACTCCCCGCACTGCACCCTTCTCGCTCAGAGAACGCGTAACGTGCCTTATTACTATGCCCATGCAATCAGGCTCCCTTGGTTTCCAAGTGAGAAAAGATGATGTTTGTGGTTTGTATTGAAAAGGAACAGATAATTCCCGCTCTCCGCTCCACCCTGTAGACCCTACCCTGACACGTGGAGCAGCGAGAGCCCAGGCACGGCAGCTGCCAGAAGGAGGGGAGCCCTCCCAACGCTGCCAGAGCGGGGAACCCCAAGTTCCCGCTGCCGGGGTGGGGGCCCTGGCAGCGTTACAAAAGCAGCACTCGAAGCACTCTACCAGGAGGAGCTGCCCTCCCCACTCTGCCAGCGAAGATCCCCACACGTCTGCCAGAGTGAGCCCTTTGCTCATCCCCCGCCCTCACCTGCCCACAGCATAAGGGGAGGAACAGAAAGAGGCTATAACAGGAGATCTCGCAGCAGAGTCTGGGGGTTGTGTTACACCGACCTATCGATCATGATCTTGGGGTCTCCCATCCAAGGAATAAGGTGTCGCCCCTGCTCCTGGTACTGAGCCTTCTCATCATCTCGAAACAGCTTGCAGGCATAGCCGAACACCAGCAGCTCCACACGGCTATTCCCACCTCCACCTCCTCCTCCACCTCCTCCGGGGGGCCCGGGGACCGCTCCCCCGCCTGACAACAACATTAGGGGCGGCGGGCCTGCTTCTTCTGCAGTCCGTCGAGAACCTCCGACCCCTCCGTACATCACCAGGGGATGCAGCGAGGAGGAGGAAACTCGCAGTAACAGCGACTGTCCGA